TAAACTTATTAATTTTTTTTTCTAATTAATAGTTTGTGTTTAATCGGATCTGTGCTAGAAATACTTAGAAATTAATTTTTGAGATGAGAAATATATCAGAGAAGGATTTTGCTTGATTTTAACTTTGAATAGAACGTGATTCATATAATAATATTAACATTAATAATAGCGATGTAAATTATTCAAACACATGATATCTTTTCCATTTCATGTCGCTTGTTGCCGCTTTAATTATGCTAATGGATGCCACTATTTCATTTACATAGCATATCCATTTTTTCTTAATATTACTTATATGTGTAAGTAAAAGACATAAATATTCAATTATGAATTATAAGATATGTAGTTATGTTAACTGTAAATTTTTTATACATTTAGCTGAATAATTTTTTACATAAGCATTAATTAAATAAATATCAAAATATAAAATATAAACAAATTGTAGAGAAAAACAGATTTTATTTTTTTTCACTTTTTCTATATTCTTTTGTAAAAGAAAAATTTATTTAAATTTAACAAAAAGTTAAGAAATTAGGATTAAATTTGCAATAACATAGGCATTTTATATTATGCTTTTATGTGCTGGATATACAATAGAATATCTTTGATGTTGCCATATTCTTTTATCTAAAGCTATAATCTAGTTTCGTTCGATTTCATTACACGTCGAAAATGACTTCTCTTTTAGCAAGCTTGTTTTTGTACCTTTTATATACTTTTAGTATGTATGCTTTTATATGCAAATGATCACGTCATTGCATGTTATTTATCGATGCGCTAAATTTCCATTTTTCATTTTATGTATATTACAGTTCAATCCTTATATACAATTTAATAACAGTTTTAATAAATGTTAGTTTAATTTAATTAAATGTTATAGAATATTTAAATTTATAAAATTTTAATAAAGCATACATTTGGCGATAAAAATATTTGTAACAACCAAAATATAGAAGCAAAATTTTATTTTTGCAAAATTATAAATAAATTTTTCAAGAAGAATTTATTTTGTGCATTATAAACATATTTAATTAAAAATTATGCAAATAAATAAATCATTAAATGGATTTAAATTTATGCTAACAGAAAAAATATGTATTATAAATTAATAAAATAAAATTATTTCTTAATATAATTTAAAAATTTAATCTTCTCATTTAATCTTAGCATTTTCAATAATTTATTAATGTTAATAGAAAATAAAAATAAATAACTTATTGTTGTTGTAATTAGAAATTTATATGTAAGAATTATACACCATATTTTACAAAAGAAAGGAAGATAATAAAAAAGAAAAAAATAGTTTATAGAAGAAAGAATACTTTTTTCGGCACCAATTTTTTCTCAAGACAATTTTTCATAATCGTGTACACTTTTTAGGATTCACTTTTCAAATTTGTTACCGTACTATGCAGCACATGTCCATTTCAACCGCGGTAATATTTAATACTCTTATTACGGAGCGCTGAACATGATAAGTTAATCCGTTATTAATTCTAAATGAAATGGACTGAAACGTAATTAAAAAGAAAAAACGGTCGCCTGGTGATGAAAGTGGCTGAAGCAAATGGCTCGTCTCGACGGCACGAATTAAGATCGGCTGAAGCAAGACATTTTCGGAAGTACGATCTCTTTCTCCTCGAATAAATTATTCATGATTTCAATGGGTGATTAATTGGGGCTTTAAGTCGAGAGATTATTAAGACAAATGACGTCGATAGAAACACTTTTATATTTACACAAATCACTTCTGAAATGTTTTATAATGTTAAAAGAAGTAGAGGAATTAAGAAAAATTCGCTCAGGAATTTGGTGTGTACTCATTGCATCCATTAATTCTTTTAGTTAAATGCTTATTGTTGGATTATAATTTATCTGTAGGAAGTAAATTCCACGCGAATGGAAAATTTAATACCCACGGGGAACAAATGCTTATGAAATTCCCTAGAGATTTAACTGTTGATGTAACATATTTTGCACAAAGTATTATTTTAACATGCAGCAAGTAGAATTCGCTGACAGTATGACTAATAGTTGCATCAGATTTCACAACTACTACTTATACATATGATGTACAAGCGTCGTTAAAACATATTTTACAGTTGCATCATCCATTTATATGCATATATACAATTTCACTTAATAATTAAATATCTTTCTTGTGTTTTTTAACAATGGAGAGAAATATTTGTGTAACATTATTCAGTTTCGTATTCAATTGCGATAATTATATATGTATATATAATATATTATATATAATATTATCGTGATTTATTTATTATAGTAAACCGTCTGTTTGTTCCTTATCTTTATCACATAATGATGCTGAAAATGATGCTGCATCGTTAAAATTGTTATCTGTGATAACACATTACTTATATATAAGTCATTAATTATATCATTCTTCTAATTTCATAAAGATTTCGTATATGTTATATTTAAGAGAATTTGTGAAACTTTTAGACCTGTTTTGTACAGATTTATTTTCTTTTCTGATAAAAAAAGATTTTATAAATAATTATTATAAATTAATATATTATAGATTGTGAAGCAGTTTGCAAGAAGATGATGACGTAATAATTATGAGAGATTAAAGTTAAAGAAACGGAAATTACGTAGAATTGATGAAAATATTCCCCGTTCGGTTCTCCGGAAATGATTTCTCAATTCAATATATTGCAATCGCGGGTAATGCAGGTATATATCTACAAAATCTTTATGTCCGAGCAAGCAAGTCTGTTAGTCATATTGAATATTCGCTACAAGATTTGATATAATTTTGTGCTTGCTATAACTTTCCTCTCCGCCGTCTCATCGACTGAAATTCCCTCTTTGAATATACATCATAGAACTTGTTGCTGTTACATAGGTACATATACATTTAGATAAGTTACTTGGACGTTACATAATTTACTTGCAATTAAAATCATATTCACGTGAAAATATCGCTATTCAAGAGATATTACATACTGTATCTATATCGCACTATTATCATTGTTCTACAACATCTATGATATCTATTAAATTCAATTAATTTTTTATTCATCATGAAATAATTATCGTTAAGAAAAACATTGCACGTTTTTTTATATAGTTTCATTAAATTGATCTTCATTTCCGCTATGTATGATACATCACACGTCATATACAATACAAGGAAAATAATACGCGCATATCAAAACAAGGAAAACACGCGACGCATTTTTTCTTGAGCTAAAATGCTTTGCAATTATAACGAATGATATTTCCTATTTCGAATTAGCTGTGACGTTTCTGATTTATATTTAACCGTAATTTTACCGAATCGTTGACTCAAATAAGGAAGAATAAATTTTATTTGTGCAAATGAATGGATTCCCCTTTACGTTGCATCAAGAATTCATTGGCGATGAGTCATATAATAATCTAACAGCAAAAATATCCACTCGACTGCAATTAATTTCAAATTCTAGGAAATTTAACACCAACTAGAAACTAAGATAAAAAAGGTTAAAGTGCAATTAAAAAAAGTGAAGTGTAATTAAATCAATCATTAAGTAATTAAAACCGGTAATTAAATCGATATTATTAATGCATTGAAATATGTATCTCAACAGTTATAATCTGTGTAAATTATACATTTCGATTTATTGACTAGATTAATTGCTATAATTAAATTAATCGATTTTTAAAAAATTTTAATTTTACTAAACATGTAGAAAAACATATGGAAAAAACGCATATTATTTTCAGATGTTAAATGTTTTATATGTTAATTTTTCGTACAATTTGGCAATTATTTTAAAAATTATATTATGTTATCCTTGAAAATTCTTTCCTTTCTTCTGATTTGTTCTTATGATGTGTTTATGACGATTCAACCTGTTCAGTAGCATTTACGAACATCGTCTCACATGAGAAGGTCACGGCCAAGAATGTGACGAAGTCACACAGCGTGAGCATGATGAATAATTTTTAATGTATGCGTTTCTAATTAAGATAAAATGTTAGAAAGTTTTATAAAACATTTTCTCTTGCCTATTAAGTATTTGATATATTTTTAGAACATTTATTACATTATATGCAGAAAAGCACTTTTGTTTCTTAAAAATTTTTAGTTTTAGATGATAAAAGTATGTTAAAAATTATCTAATTTAAATAAATTTATATAACTTTATTGAGTATATGTATATTTACATACATTATTTTCGTAATAAAGTATATTAGAAAAAAAAAGAATATAAGTTTTTATATCTTTCAAATGGAAATCTTGCCTTTGTATGTTTTTTATGATGCAGAGATTATATATTTTTATGAAAGTAATAAAACGTTATATATCATATTGTCCAATCTCAAGCTGTTGTATTATTACAAGTAAATCCAATATTAATAATAAAAACAATTTTCTATTTCGTTATATTTTTAGTAAAATATTCATACTGTTTTCAAATTTTAAAAAATATATATATATAGAGCACCGAAAACATTCGTTAGATATCGTTCTAGTTAACTAAAGAAAACAATATATGGTGATTCAGATTAACATACTGGAAGATCTTATAAATTATTCATGTCATTTAATAAATACGCAAAGCGATGTAAAACAAATCGAATCATCTAGTCGGCGATGTATTCCGATATAGCAGACTTTATTTATTCGCGCAGTGGGGCATATAATTCATTGAATAACCGACCGTCCCGCTGGATGCTACATTGGAAATATAAAATATATTCTTTCATTTCCCCGAGGAGAAAGACTTCCAAGAGCTTAGTAAAAGATATCGCTAACGGAGAGTTAGTCCTCTCACGATTGAACCTATTCTGGTGCAGACGATCACCTCTTGCCTCGCGGATTAATCTATTCATTATCCTTCTTTTCCTTTCTTTCTTTCCTCTTCTGAGAAACAGCTGAAAGGATGACACATCTTGAAGCAACGTGGATGCCTCCTCCCCTACCATTTTCCTTCCACCACCAATCTGCCGAGTACTTATGCTGGAGTAGCTCGCAGATTAACTTTTGATACGTCTCTTCAGTCTCTGTGCCAGCACCGATTCGTACGTGTGCGGCGTAACACGTTTCGTTGTCGTTGATTATTAAATTTGTATTAGCGTTTCGAATTGCTCGTAAAGTGTAATTTGACCAGAAGTGAGGGATATTACGGGAAGGATCGCGGTATATACGTGAAACGAAGAGGTGCCGTGAAAGAAGAGAGGACGAGAAAGAAGGGAAAGAGTAGAACGAGCGGACGCTAAGTTAGACGAAGAACGAACGAATGTGAGTGTAAAGTAATCGTTAATTTTGTTGGCCATGAAAACGCGAAGAGTACCGCGTTTAAATTTAACGTAAATTATGCAAAATGATTTACATCTCAGTGGGCGCTTTGAGGCCTCCCTTTGTGTTTGCAAAGCAAACCGTGCATGATTTTATGCTCGATCTCGCGACGGTCGTGATTTCATAGTAACTTGGGAAATCGTTTACAGTCCGGAACCGCGTTTGCCTTCGAGAAACGTTTATATATCCTACGAAAGTATCCTATCAAAAATTTGGTGGCAATCTAGTACTTCCGGCGTTACATATCCTTCAGAAAATCGTCCATTTTCTTATTGCTATCCGTTGTCTTCCG